TTTCTAACGAGGACGATGGGAGATGCCCATGGAACTTCGCTGAAGGCTCGATGGCATCGCCTTCTTCCATACCTTTTAGCAGTGTTCGCACCTCTTTCTGTTTAGCAAACGGTAGACGTCTTGGATGTTGCTTGATCGGGGGATGATCGCCGGTATCGATTCTATGGTGTGTCAAACTAGTTCGACCCACGTCAGAAGACGAGCGGGAGAAAACAACTTGAAGATCTTTAATGACGCGATCGGCAGCATTTTTTCTCTTTATCGTTTAATTGTGCATTCTGCAATAACTCCGATGTAATGCTCTCTGAGGACACGGATTCTGGGATGTTACTCTTTTTTTTCAACGCTGGTTACTGGAGTACATGTTGCAACCACTTCACCTTTCTTAATAACTCTCAACTTTTCAGTACATTGGCGACTCTCACCGGGATAACCGTTCTGGATAGGTCGACGAGTGTTGAGGCTACTATACTCCCCTTTTGGGATATTACAGTTATTGGGATATTCTATGATGCCGTAGCGGAAATTTCTATTTTCGGCTATGGATCCAGGAAGTAAAATTTCTGTTCTTGCCGGTATTGTAATATAGTCTTGTGCTATGATTTTTATGGACAGATTTAACTTCTTCATCATTAACGAGAAATAACGCTATGTCCTCAGATGTAGAATGCAATTCGTTATTTTTAAAATCCAAGGAAAAATTGTATTTCCTTAGAAAGTCCAATCCGAGTATGCAAGAATCAGTGATCTCTGCTACATATGCCGTGTGATGGTAAGCGGCACTTCCAAACGTGATGTTAACATTTACTTTTCCGTCGATGTCGATCTTCTCACCGGACACAGTCTGGAGGGTAACGCAGGGCGGCGTCCAGATAAGTTGTTTTTCCTAGTTGTTGAGCCAAATCTTTTCGGATGATGGTGACGTTGGCTCCTGTATCTATAGTCATATTGCACGGAACTCCATTAATATGTCCCTATTATGAAAAGTCCATTACTGCCGCCGCCTCTCACTGCAGAAATCTGAAGCGCTTTAAACGGGGGCTTTTCATTATCTGGCAACCTCCGCCCCCCCCCCGCGAGATGGCCACTAATTAGTTTCCCTGCTGCTTGTTAGAAGAGAAGGTCTTAACATCAGTACCCTGGGGTGTTTTGCAGTTTTTCGTCGTATGTGTCCTTCAGCACCGCAGTTCCAACACTTAACGGTCGGTTTCTTCTCACCAATATTCCGTCTCAAGGCGTTTCAGTTGTCTAGTTAAATCGTCAAGTCGAGCGGTGACTTGATCCCCTGGCTCCTGGACTTGAGCAGCTCTGACTGGGTGGCGGTCTCGACGAGTGGCTTGCTGGGCTGCCTCAAATTTCATGGCGTACACTAGAGCACTTTTTAAATCTTTTTTACGTCCGCCATTCGTAGAGCTTTCTGTATTTCAGTATCTCGGATGCCCGTCGATAAAGTATTGCAAGGACAGGATTTCCCTTGTTTCTGTCGGGCATTCCGAAAAGAAAAGGCGAGATGGGACAGCCTTTCAACATCCGCGGCGAGCTCCTGAAGTGTTTTCGGTAGGCTTCTGTTGACGAGATTTTAATTGGAGCCTGCTGTAGTCTTTTAAACACTTCTCCCCCAAAAGCGCAACTCCAAGGCGGCGCCGGACAGAGCTTCGAAATCTAACCTTTTGTTTTCGGGAAGAGTCTGAAGGATATCCGCTGCGTCGGCTCTTAGAGAAGCGGCGAGATGACAGGCCTTAGCTTGGGAATCCCATCCATTCGCATCCGCCACGATAGAAAATTGTGTCTTATACACCTGCCAGGAGGTCTTCCCATCATATGTGGATAGCTTCAGAGGTGGACGAGCAGGCATTGGTAAGAATTTAAAATCATCACTCCTGCTCCCTCCCGACGCTACGATTTCGAATTTCTTTTCTTTAAAGTATCTATTTCTTTGGCAACTGCAGAAACTCTCTCATCAATTTGTTCTTTTAAAGAGAAACTCTTTCTTCTATTTCTTCTTTCTTCTTTCACCGAAGAAAACTCTTTCTTCAATATGTCCAACTTTATTTTCAACTGCGTCAATTTCTTTCTGCCTTCCATAGCTTCAAATTTATTTTCTATTATGCAAGTAATTTCTCTTTTTCATTTCTTCTTGACCAGCTTGAACGGCTTTCATTTCGTCCTTAACGGATTCCTGGCCCAATTTTTCATTTCTTCCTTAACGGATTCCTGGCCCAATTTCATTTTTCTTCCTTAAATGATGCTTGGCCAGCTTCCATCTTTTCTTGGAATGCAGCAAAAGCACAATGAGCTGTCTCAATTGTTCTTCTTCCATCGCTCTTGTTATTGGCATTCAAATCCCACTTCTGACACCAAAAATTGTTGCGTGCGTACGGGTTCGTTATGAAATGAATGCACAAGTCCGATGAAAAATGAACAAAAATTTATTATTATCACACAACAAAAATGCTTAAATTTTCTCAAATTATCATGCAGTATTACAATATCTCACAGTAGTTTCTTTTAACTACTCAAATGTCCAATAGAACGTAATTCAAAACAGCTAAAGAACGCTAATCCTAATCCGCGAATTCGCTACAATCAACAACAGTAGTTTTCTAAAACAACAACAAACTAAGCAACTACTACAAACTGAGATGTTTTCCTCCTTTTATAAGATTTTAAAATCATGCGCTAGAATTTTCCAGTACTTTCTCGAAATAAAAAGAGATATTTATTTATTTAATGCACGCGCTCTTGTATTTTCAATTTTCCGGCTTAGCTTTCTTTTAATATTCGTCACGCGCTGCACTGCACGAGAAATAAAACCATTTAATTTCTAATTGAACTAACATTAGCTTTTTAAATACCAAATTCGTAACAATATATAAGGCTTCAAATACAGTACAAAGTTTCGAGACTCAGACTTGTTGGGAAGAATTTTTTGATAAAAGATGGATTAAGGAGTAACATAACAGAAAACTTTATTTTGAAAATTAATTTCTCCATCACTAAAACAAGTAATGTTAGAATACATTCATGCAATAAAACTCATTATTTAGTAGTAATAAAGGCATTTTTATGTTTTGCTGGCGCAGGCGATAAAGTCACCAATAATGGTACAACTGATGTCAAACGGAATATCCTTGCTGGTAACCTTTTAGGCCTTATTTTCAAAACAAAATAGCAGCCATTTCTTATCAGACTGATTGTTTCTTTCAATACTGGCATAGAATACATATAATTTTTATTACATAGAATTACATTGAATTTTTACCAGATAGTTCAATTTTATGCCCTAAGGCCCATTTTGCGGTAATTAAATCAATTAGGATGCAATCACACCGCTCACCCGAAGGCACAAATAAAAGGCAAAGTCAAGGGTCATCAATTCTAATGAGAAGGCAATAACGAAGTAAAGCACTGCGGTTTTACATAATTTCTGAGTAAGCTATTGGTACTAACTGAAATAATTCTTGCCTTTAAACTTGTATTTAGAATTAAGATTTAACTTAAAATTAATGTATATAATTACTGAGAAAATTAGATTTTTGTAGCGTAGTTTACGTGAGATGAGATCACTTGGGATCACATGATATGAATCGGCGAATCAGGATGTTGAACCGTGAAAGAATAGTAAATTCTTAAATTAATGTCTTTTTGTCTTCATTTATTAGCTTTTTACAAAATTTTAAAAGATATTAAAATGTTTATGCCTTCAAAATAAAAAATTCTTAGAACTAACATTTGTTAACATTTCTTATGTGTATACTGTATGTTGTCGCCAATAAAGTCTGCTTGGCGAGATTTGCGGCGGCAAAATGGAAAAATACTGTAATAAATTATCTCTACACATGAATGAAGACTTTATATTAGAATATTAAAAAAAAAAAATATTTAATCATTACTTTTGAAAAAAGGGGCAGAAGATAAAAGAACTTTAATAAAGAAACTAGTATATTTAAGGGTGCCCCCTTGGATTATTGCTAAGCTGTTGTTTCATTTATCGCGAAGTTGTTGTTTCGTTTATGGTATCCCGAGTAGTTGAATGTTATGGAAACCCTATTATGATGTAATTGGTTGCTTTAATGTGGTGAATTTGACTGATGGAAAAAAGTTTGTAAGGGCTTGTTTGTGTGTTGGATGTTGGTTAGGAAGTACGATGCTTATTTTGTGGTTTACGTGGTAAAATGGCTGAATGTGGTAAGATTAATTTAAAGTTTCTGTACAATTTAGAATGAAACGGGGAAAAAAGCATTAATTGATTGGTGTGTAAATGAGTTACTTAGTAGCTATAAGTGCCCTGTTTGTATGAAGGAAATGTGTATGGTCGAACGTTGTAGGATACCAGCACACTAAGAAGGATATTTTTTACTCTTATTTTTGTGAATTTATTTGGCAACACCAGTATACAGATTCCAGTTAAGATGATTTTGGAAAGTTTTTGGATGCTATGAAGGAATTATGTTTGGATGAAAACAGAGAAATTTCTAAATAAATTACTGGATATTGACTTTGGCTAGCGCTTAGATGCTATAAGGAATTTCCATTTTATGTTGTTTCATTGTTAGATTGTTTATTCAGATTACATATTTTTGTTTGGCTCTAGTGTAGAATTGGCTGCTCCTTTGATGTTTTAAGTGAAAGTAGATCGACAAAGTACATGGACAAAAGCAGTGCACAATGCCAAGTTTGTGCAATTCTCTGACTTTTTTCAAGTGAAAATAGGTCGATGTGCATCTGGATACGGAGTTTGTGAAATTCTTTCACTTGTTATTTTGGCTTTGGTAGCGGCAATAAAAATCACCAAAACAACAAGTCAAAGAATTGCACAAACTCTGTGTCCGTGTACCGTCAAAAATGGCCAATTTTTGCCAAGGGGCCACACATATATTTTTACCAAAATTTTACTTTTGCATAGTATAACCCAATTTTAAAAAGTTGATACTCTTTACCTTATTACAATTTAATTCACATATTCCTGAGAAAGAAAATTGAAATAAAAATATACTTACTTTGAATATTTTTAGTCCTATTTTCCTCTTCCAAATCCACATTTCTGTATACATCACAAACGGAGGAACAATTTTCCACATATGACGGCTTGCTACCTTTTGAAGCTTCCATGTGCAACATTTTATTATTTGGCAAATTACATTCACCTCTGTTAATACTGCTGTTAGCAAAGGGATATAAATTTAGATCAGAATAATTGCTGAAAGTAGGTTGTGTTAAGAAAAAATCTGAACTTAAGGAATTTAATGTCATATTTGGCCTCCAACTATGAAGATTTTCATCATCAGCTTCAACGTTTATATACAATTCATTAGGAAAATGTTCTTTAAATGAAGAAGGAAACTTCCTGTAATCTTCACCATTTTGCTTGCCATTTGAATTATCTTTAAAGCCCTCTACCCCAGCCTCACACATAACATTAGATTTCTCATCTGAAGCAAAGCTTTCGCTGTTAAAATTTCTAGTACAATGATTATCATATTTAACATTAGGTAGCTGTAAAGATGAAAGGTCCAAAGAAATTTCATTATTTGCATTACTGTTGTCAGAAATGGATGGAAAATGCATATTTGGTAAGCTAGAGCTGCAGTTCATGATACCGTTGTTATTTTCAACTTGTTTTGGCACAACAACATATGAATCAAGCTTCAAGTCAGTCAGCTGTTGTGAAATGAGAGCTGTATGAAGATCTACATTTCCAGTCGCTGTGTATTTGGAGCTTTGCACACTCAGCATCTGAGCACACAATTCCGCATCATTTGCATACTAAAGAATAAAGTATAATTAGCAAAAGTTAAAAAAATATAAATAAATAAACAGTTAAACATCACTTATTAAAAAAATTAGCATGATTTAAATTAGGCAAAATTCAGCCTAGAATTGAGACTGTCTTGACAAAAAAAAAAAAAGACTATTTTAAGAACATTCCACTTGTTTCCTTTGAGTTTTCCTAATAAGCCAGTATAAATCTCAAGTTGAACGCTGGTCATGCAAAATGATTTTGGTTCTTGAAGAAAAGCAATACCAGAACTGTCACTTTCAAAACATAAATAAAGAGGTCTTTTTCACTTTTTATTTTGTTTTGTTTGTTGTTGTTAATCGAATATCAATCCTAGGTTGAAATTTTTCCTCTATTCAAATTTTATCTTGGTATGCAGCTTCTCTAATTCATGATTATTATTTTAGCATGTTATAATTAATTCCTGTTTCTAACTAAGCATTCATCTAATTTGCTGGTGAATTCCTCTAGCAAAAACAAAGATGCACACACACAAAAAAAAAAAAAAAAAAAAGGACAAAAGCATTATTATAGAAAACACTTTGGTTAGAGTTGACACTTTGGTTAGGACACCCCTTGTATTATCACTAATTTGTTGTTTCATTTATCGCCAAGTTGTTGTATCATTTATGGTAACCTGAGTAGTTGAATGTTATAGAAACCCTATTATGACATAATCTGTTTGCATTATTCCAGAAATTTTTGAATAACGGGATGTTTTGCAAGGGCTTTTGTGGTGTGTGTTGCTTAGGGAGTACATTGCTAGTTTCACTGTTTAGACGGTACAACGGCTGAATGTACTAAGATTATTTGAAGTTTCTTTACGATTTGGAACGAAAGAGGAAGAGTGCATTAATTGACTGGTGTGTAAATGAAGGTTTACTTAGTAGCCATTTTCCGGACAGTCCAAAACTACGTACAGTCAAAAGTCGTTAATTCGGACACCCATAATCCGGAATGATCTATAATCCGGACCTCAAAGCTACAAACTTTCTACGCATGCGGCCCATTGACGCATGCACGTAAGACTTTTATGGCTGCGAATATGAGTGTGCGCGTGCGCAAAATACGTTTACAAATGCGCGTTTAATGTATAACGGACAGTATAAGCTAAGCTAAAATTATCTAATTCACTGAATGTTGCAGATTGCGTTGTTCCTTAATCTTCGAATTGGATCCGGCTTATTATTTTTTGCAGACTGTTAGAGCAATTTTATAAAAGGTAAGCTTGAACTTTCGATTATGTCAAATAGAATTGCTGATATATATTTACTAATATGTAAAGGATCTACAAAGCGAAAGTATGTTTCGAAATCCATTAAACAAAAAGTGGAATTGCTCCAAAAAATGGATAAAGGCATATCCTTTGTTTATCTAAACTTTAACGTTTGTTTATCTAAACTTTGTTTATCTTTAACGCCCAGGCGCGCAATGAATTGGAAGTTGATCTGTCAGCACTATCCTTATCTTCAGAGCAGATGTTTTTATTTTATTTGGCTTATAATTCCTTACTAAATGTATTATTTCATCTTGATGTACTCTGTCTTTGATATGATTTAAATGAAATTCCTCATCATTATAATTCTCTTCCGATAGCGAAGAAAGTAACAGAGGTTATTGAAAACGAAAACATTTCGATTGACAAATTAGTCGGTATTCTCGACACAGCAATTATAGGACTTGAACAGCGAAACTTTGTAACTGAACAAGAAATTATGTCTGTTTATAGAATTAAAGAGAATGTATTATCACATAAAAAACAAAGCAACTTAAACAACTTACATTGAAAGAAATATTTAATAAAGTAAACAAATAAATATTAAGCTTTTTTTTTTTTTTTTTTTTTTTTTTTTTTTTTTTTTTTTTGTAAATTTTGATACCCTTTAGATCATAATTGTTCTTTATTTCATAAATTATGGTTTCATATTTTCAATTTTATAATTTCTGCATGCCATCTTACCAGATTTAAATTGATGATCTATAATCCGGAAAAATCGATAACCCGGAATCGCCGAAGACCCGACGAGTCCGGATTAACGACTTTTGACTGTAGTATATTTTTTACTCTTATTTTTGTGAATTTATATGCTGACGACGATATACGGATTATAGTTCAGATAATTTTAGAAGTTTTGAGATGCTGTTTACGGAATTTTGTGTGCCACAGACTGAAGACAAACAAATTTCTAAATAAGGTAAGTGGATATATGCTTTGTGTAGTGTTTAAATGCATAACAGGTTTTTCCTTTTTTATGTTATTTTATGCTTGGTTTAAAATGTAGTTTATTCAGATTATGTATTGTTTGTTTGTCTCTACTGTAGAATTGGGTGCTCCTTTGGCCTTTTTAAGTGAAAATACAGGGGTTGGACAAAAATATGGAAACACCTTTAAAAAAACATGTTTCTTTGCTTAATATGGTGTAGGAAACCCGTTGGCATCCAAAACAGCTTGCAGTCTTCTCGGAATGGATAAATACAGTTCCTGTATGTTTGCCAAGGGAATATTATACCATTCTTCCTGCAAAACGGTGGCAAGTTCAGATAACGATGTTGGCGGTGGATAATGAGAACGCACTTTCCGTTCCAGTGTAGACCACAAAGGTTCGATTATATTCAGGTCTGGTGACTGTTGTGGCCAGGGGAGATGGGACAACTCATCCTCGTGCTCAGAAAACCAGTCCTGGACAATGTGAGCTGTGTGAACAAGGGCTTTGTTGTCTTGGAAGACACCATCACCATCGGGGAACAAAGTTTGTACCATGGGATGAACTTGATCGGCCAAAATGTTCACATAAGTCTTGGCAGTCATGTGCCCTGACACAGTTATCATGGGACTAGCAGAGAACCACGATATAGCTGCCCAAACCATAACAGAACCCCCGCCATGTTTCACTCTTGGCAACAAGCAGTCTGTATTATAGGCTTGAGATGGCGTTCTCCAGACGTAAACTCGGCCAGAAGTGGGAAACAATGTGAAAGAAGACTCGTCAGACCATATTACTCGCTTCCACTGCTCTATAGTCCAGGCTTTATGACTTAAACACCACCTTTTCCTGTTACAGGCATTAGCATCACTGATGAGTGGCTTCTCAATTGCAGCATGGCCAGCAATTCCCTGTTTATGAAGCTGCCTTCTAATTGTTTTGGTACTCACAGGGTTGGGTAACACAACATTCATTTCAGCAGTAACTTTATTATATTTAGATGAAGTACCGGTAATCTGGAAAACTGTTAGACAAAAATGTGCAAGTTTATCAACTATGGAAGCGGAGTATATCGCTTTATCTGAAGCAGCGAAGGGATTAATGTGGACGAAAAATGTCTTACAAGATGAAATTTTAAAGTTTAATTTAAGAGAGTGTAAACTATTTTGTGATAACAAGTCTGCCATTGATTTTTCTAGATCGCCAATAGAAAATCGCCGAACCAAGCACATAGACGTAAAATATCACTTTATTAGAAGACTAGTAAATGATGAAGTGTTTTACCTTGAATTTATCACCAGTAAATTAAATACTGCCGACTTATTTACAAAAGCAACGACTGCTGTTAATTTAAGAAAGTTTTGTTTAGATGTTTTCAGTGTTTAAAGACAATAAGTGTTTTCGTATAATAGAATTGAACTATGAACTTCTGTGAAAGTTTTGTTTTTGTCTTTGCATGGGGAAAAGAGGGCCGTTTGTTGGCTTTAGTTTTAAACATGCAAATTTTGATTGGAGGTCCTTCGGCGGTAAGCTAACATGGTTGCCGCTGATTGGCCGATGACGTCAAGATCGGTGGGATGGCCGAGTATAATATATATGTACGCCGGTATCGGCGAATCTTGTTGTTTCTTGTTCTCTTGTGTGATTATCAGTTAGCTTTATGCTAGTTTGCTTTCACTAAATGATTTTAAATGTAAAGGCTACAGTGTTAGCTCTTTTATTTTATTTACTGAATAAAGCAGAAATTTTATTTAGTTTAGTCTTAGCTTTATTTAAGGGAAGCAAAACATGCTTTGCTTTTATCACTACTGCCAACAGACATAATCGAAAGTTCAAGCTTACTTTTATAAAATTGCTCTTACAGTCTGCAAAAAATAATAAGCCGGATCCAATTCGAAGATTAAGGAAAAACGCAATCATCAACATTAACTGAAATAGATAATTAGATAATTTTAGCTTATACCGTCCGTTATACATTAACACGCACGCGAAAACATATTCTGCGCTTGCACAGACGCATATGCGCAGTCGTAAATGTCTTGCGCGCACGCGTAAAACGCCTATGAGCATGCGTCAACGCGGCGCATGCGCAGAAAGATTTTAGCTTTGAGGTCCGGATTATGGGTGTCCGAATTAACGACTTTTGACTGTATTACATTACTTTATTGTTAGTTAATAAATGTTCTGTTTGTTGTTACAAAGTCTCATCACCTGCATTATTTTCTTTCTAGGTTCAAGCATACGATCAGAAGGCACCCAAAGCAGGGACGTGAAATGGAACATTTTTTTTTATTATTTTTTAATTATTCATTGCATTTTACTTTTTGTATAAAATGGATGAAGCAACTTTTAAAAGGTTTCATGGCTGTGCTAAGGCATTGCTAACTAGATTGCTTAATTCATATAATGAAAATCTCTTTAAAAATGATCTAGTTTCTCTTGCGAACCACCAGTGGTATGCAAGAGAAAAACAGGTGGTATGCAAAGATGCAAAGTATTTTTAACTATTAAATTTAAAAATTAAAACTCCAACACTCTGATTGAGTTTTTTCTCTAACACTCGTAAATTTTTGCGATCTGAGCTTTGTTCAAGAGTGGTGGTGGTAGTAGTACTTTGTAGTGGTGGTATTAAAGGTTTTTAATTTTTGTTTAGATGGTACGCATTAGTGAAAAGGTTGAGAACCGCTGATCTAGTGCTTAGATTCAAATAATTGTTAATTCTTAACTGAGTTTGAAAAATATGTTTGCCAAGTGAAGACAGCTCTGAGATTGAGGAGTTTGAAAAAAAGTATTTTGCAATTAAAGTACTTTATAAACACGCATTAGATAAATTAGCAGAGAGTGTTTGCATGAATAAAAAAACTGATGTAAAGCTTCTGCAAATAAACATTAAACCATTTCAAGAAAATCATCGAGACTGGCCTTCATTTACTTCCATTTATTTCTATCAACATTGCACAACAATAAATCACTACCTAAAATTCAGAAATTTTGATACCATCAGAGGTTTGCTACTTGAAAATAAAGCAAAATCAATTAAATGCATTCTTGCTTCAGAAGACACCTATGAGGAAGTTTGGACTAAATTGTGCAAGTGATATGATGACAAAAAGCAAACAGTCATGTCGTTAGTGAAAACTTTCTTGGTTCAACTATCCATTACTCGTGCTGATCATTTAAGCTTAAGGCAGCTGGCAGATGCTTCTGATGACGTAGTTCACTATTTAGATTCTCTGCCCGCAAATGCTTTGAAAAGAGATCAGAGGTGAATATTTATATTACTACAAAAGGTTGATCCTGATAACTAAAACTGTTTTCAACCAAAATACAGAAATTAAGTGCAAATGTTGTTATGACATTCATTCTTTAAGCAAGCGTCTGAAATTTAAAGAATTAAGACATATCAATAAAAAAACTCAAGTAAAAAAAATACAATTTGCATTTTAATTGCCTTAGCGAGAGTCATCATACTGATAGCTGATTTCTAAATTTATGTGTAAGATTTATTCTCAAAAACATAATACACTGCTTCACAAAAATATGAAGTCAACTTTGGTTGTGGCTAAAGAGGATCCAGTGGCAGTCTTATATTCTAGTGATTTAAATTCTAATATAGGATGCTATTCTGCTAGAAAGAATCAGAAAATAATATTGCTTCTACAGCAACAATTCCTGTATCCAGTTTGTTTGGCAAACAGGGTAATAGTTCTGTTCTTTTAGATACCAGTAGCGAATGCAAAAATTAAGTAATTTTAGAGTCTTGTGAACAAAGGTTGACTCTGTGAAAAAAATAACACAATGTTTCCTGTTTAGAGTTTAGCATCCAGAAATGCTGGTATTACTAAAAGGCATGGTCAAACTGTCCATGATTCCAAAATTTAATTCTGAGAAGGAATTTGTCATCAAAGCTTATGTGTTAAATAAGTTAACCTGCCCACTTTCATCGAGCAATACTGAATGTAATGCGGTGCCGTTCATAGATTCTGTTACATTAATTGATTCTGAGTTTAAAAAGAGGAAACAAATTGACATTATTATTGGTGGTGATTATTTCTTTTCACTTTTGTTGCCAGGCATAATTCAAGATTCAGTTCAATTTAAGTTCAAAATACTTATTTTGGCTGGATTTTTTCAAAAATTATTGAAAATTCAGTTTCTAATAATATATCCTCCCCGGGGGTCGACATAGAGAATTCTGCGAAGCTACTGGCTAGGATCTGTACCTAGGCAGTCTCGGCCACGAGGGTATAAAATTTATGAACTTGGTGGTTCTGAAGGCCTTGGGAAAAGGTCACTCATTGACCAGCCTCGGGGTCTGGCATGTCCTGAGTGGTTTGCTGGGTAACGGCCCTCTGCGATGGGCTCGCCCATGCGACTGGCAGAAGTAATTGACGACCAGTGCTGCCTGGGGTTTTATCCAGGTGGTGCGCTGCTCCTCTGGAAGGGTAATAGTGGAGGTTGAACCTCCACGAAGTGCCCAAACGGGAAGTGGAACTGTAGTGTGATCAAGTTCACGGAGCAGGGAATGCCCAAATCTTGTTGTTGTTCTAACAATCAAAAGCTTTTATGCTAAGTTAAACATTCATGAAACACAGAAGTGGTTTAACAGAAAAAGCATTTTCAAGATAATTACCAACTAAATTCTGACGGCAGATTCATCATCAGCCTTCCATTTCAAGATTCCACTGAAAAACTAAAGGATGCAAGAGAAGTGACCATTTCATATTTATTTGATATAGAATGCAAATTTAAACCAATGCAAAATCCTAGCCTGGAAAATGGTTATAATTAATGGTTTATTATGGAATTAATGGCCGAATATGAAGAGCTGAGTCTTATGACCACAAACAATTTTTTTTTAAAATATGTTCATTTCAATTTATATACAGGTTTTGAATTTTGGGTAATTTTTTTATCAAAAAAAAAAGCACTCTCAGCTTATACATGGATCAGCTTATGTTCGAAAATATAACCGTAAATTAGAACCGAAGCATATGAAAAAAAATTATTACAATTTAAAATTTGACATAAGCAAAGCAAGATACTATACAGAGTTTTCAATAATACCTAATCATACAACTAGTAAAGCAATGCTGAAGTAGCCATAGTAAGGTGCGATACCAGAAATAAGATACACAACGACAATACGGCATTATCAGCTGCAAAAAATGAAATGCCATTTTGAAAAGGTATATGGCTGAAGAATTAAAAATTTCCTACATCATTTCCTAAGGTTTTTTTTTTTTTTTTTTTTTTTTTTTTTTTTTTTACAGCTGTGATTGTATGAACTGTCATCTACAGCTCAAGAATTGTCATTCCACACACCATCACAAACTTCCAGCCTTGTGCCAAAATCTGACATGTTTAGGATGGGTATATGTCCACGTATCTAACTATTTTATTGGATTATTATTACACTAAAAATTTGCATGTATACATAATAAAAATTTACATGTATACCTAAAAAAACTGCATGTATACATAATAAAATTCAGCATTTATACATAATACTTATTGAAAAGAAATTAAAATATCATATTACTTATTTGTATTAGCAATTTTGGGCAAAGATGTAATAGCTGTTAAATAGATCTATAATATAATGAATGTAATTCATTAAATTATATGTTACTTGAATAATAATTACATACATATTCATACATAAGGGATAGAGGATTGCTGTTATTTAAAAAATACTGGCTAATCTTTGGAATACGGTAACAGGCAGTTTGATGACATTTTGGTAAGGCGATAAAGGTTAATAGCTAGGACTTTAGCAGTGTACATGGATATAGTCAAGAGTGTGCGCAATGCCATTTTTGTGCAATTCTGGGATGTTTTTTTAAGTGGAAATAGGTCGATGTGTACATGGATGATACCGTGTATGTGCAGTTCGTAAAAACGCGGCAAGCAGTGGGCGATTCTGCACTTTGTCTCAATTTCGCACCTAATCTTCGTTATGATTAAGCACTTTTATTCCATAAAAGTTCTAGCATAAGCGTAATTCAGCTAGCAGATTGTTGGGAAAAAATATTGGAAATTTTGAGTAAAGAAAAAAAAAAAAAAAAAAAATTCCATTACTTCGTGAAAACAAAATGGCGTCCAAACAAAAAGTAGCAGGTTGCTGTAGCAGGGTTGGTCACCAGATTTTCGCCAAAAAATCGCCGAGTTGCCATAATTCAAAGATTAACCAAAATACTTAATCAAGGGAGTCCATGATATAAAATGTTAAAGAAATTAGTATTTAAATATTATTGCAACTACTTCAGGAAAGTCACCAAATTTTCAGGCTGTGGCATACTCTGGCAACTACACACGTAGCAATTATTTAATTTTAACAGGCAATGTCACTACATTTGAAAGGTTCTTTTTGTTTTTTAATTACAGACAAATTATAATATTTTTGTCTTAATCTCTTATTTAAAATATGCTCTTGCTCTTGGTAAAATTTGTCTGCAAAGAAGTAATTGTTAAATTTATGCAGGACGCGAATATTGTATAGCAAAATTTGCTATAGAGAACGATTTCAATCTATACTACAAAATTTTCACCAGCATATGCAAGTCAGTTTATCAATTCATTTCCATATTAAATAACTAATTAAAATATAAACTATGTAGGTGATATATTATTTTTTGTGACTGGGAGTCATCACTTCTCCCCCTGTAAAAATTGCTTAATGGTGCTAAAATAACATTAATACATAACATGTTCTGGGAAACATCCAAAATTCTTTTTTTACTGTATGTACTAGAACAGAATATATTACAATAAATATTAAGAAAGTAAATACCACATACCTGTATTGTATACATCTGAATTATGTCATGTGGAATGTTGGGAAACATTTGCAACATCTGATAAAACATAAATGGATGCCTTTGTCCAGGTAATTCCATTTTGAAAACCTAGATTAAAAAAAAATACCTGCTTATTAAAAAATCAATAGTAAAAAAATTATGCATAATTTAAAATTTAATAATATCCATACTATATTATAATAAATATCAACAGCAGAAATAAAAATAACCCAAAAAATATAAAATACTATTAGAAATGCCTAACTGGTTAAATACATTGTCATACAAAACAAAATCTCGCCATAGTTACCATGTCATATAAACAATCATTAAATTTAGCACATCTGTACCTTTGACAGCTCATTACGTCTATGGTAAAATTAAGCGATTTGGCTCAGAAACTACTTCATGACTTACGCAATTCAATCATACTTATGAAATCTAAGCAAATCTTGAGAAAAACACAAAATATCTTGCAAATAATTTGAGGCAGTCAGGAAAGTTCTTTGGAATATTATTCATTAAAAAATATGATTTTGTTTAAATTCATTATTTGCAAAAAGTTGCAGAAATAATAAGAAATATAATAACTTTATATTTGGTAAAAATGAAGTTTATATATATGACAACTAAGAAATAAAATTTCAACATACAGATAAATAGAAATTTAGATTACATTCTCTGATAATACTTTTGTCTTGACATATCAAAATCTTCTTACAAGGTTTGCGATTTTACACAAAGGGAATTTTTTTGGTACTTATGTATTATCGTAACCAAGTAGGCGTTATTTGTAAGTTTGAGTAAAAAAGTATGAATAGAAAGAAAATGTACATTTATTAATCACAGATAATTTTTAATACAGTTTTTTATATTGTTTTGCTTTAAAATATAAAATAGCAATTAAACCCTTCCGGTTTCGAATTTGAATAAGTTGCAAAATTATTTTTTCGGCGGAAATCTTTTGGCTATTGCTTTTAGCACTGATTGAAAACCCTATTCGCCATAACCATGTACACGTCGACTTATTTTTACTTAAAAAAACATCCCAGAATTGCACAAAAATGGCATTGCGCACATTCTTGACTTTATCCATGTACACTGCTATTTTCTCATAAATTACAAAAATTTGCACGAAAATGCAGGAAAATTTTGTGAATCTCCACATGCTCTTTTTACAAAACTACGTATAACACGTAGGGTTGCTGTAAGTAGGGTCGCCAAATTTGGCAATTTATGCAAATTTTGGCCTGGTTGCGTTAATACGTAAGTACCATTTTTTTATATAAAAGATAATCAATAACCTAAACTGTTTATAATACATGTATATTTCTTAATGTGTAAAGCATTATTTATCTAACTAGTTATTTTATGTTAGCTTTACTGTTATTTTCTCTTTCTGTTTTCCTGTTAGAATGCTAATCTTATTCAAACGAAATAGGCAGAAATAGTATCTAAAGGGAAGAGTAAAAGTTTACAATGGGGTGCCCCTTATTATTATTATTTTTTCGATTTTTTTTTTTTTTTTTTTTTAATGCTAAGATCGACAGCAAGAAGGCACAATTTCAAGATGACTGCTACAAAAAGCCAAAATAAGAAGTCAAAGAATTGCACAAACTCGGTGTTCATGTACACATTGATTTTTTTCACTTAGAACATCAGAGAATTACACAAACTACACACTGCCTTTACTTTGTCCGTGTACACATCGATCTCTTTCACTTAAAAGAAATCAGGAAGCTAAAATAATGTTAAAACTAACATGGTAACCAGAAATGGGATTTCATCGCCAAAACTGAACAAAATTTGTCGTTAAGCGGAAGAACACCCAATTCTACACTATAGCCAAGGGGACGTTTTAGACTCCCTTTAGACCTTTGTTTAGGCAGAACACGTTCTGCCCACTGAAGGACACATTGCCAGTTGCAATTCTATGACAGCAATTAGTTTTTGGCATTTCTTTATTCTTTATAATATTGCGTGTCATGCCGGTATAGGTTTGCAATGACTTGCACCTTCATATTTTCTGTGCGGCCCTTGGCTAGCTTATGACTCGGCTTAGTTTAATTTGAAATTCTATCTTTCAAGTTATGCCATAAATACTGACTGGTTTGAAGAACAAGAAGTACCTTCTGTTAACTATTTAACTATTAATAAAAAGGTCTTTTACACCCTTCTTACATCCTGTTTTCTTACAAGACTTTTATTCAAACGAAGTAGGCAGAAATAGTATCTAAAGGGAAGGGTCAAAGTTTACAATAAGTTGCCCCTTATTATTATTATTATTATTATTATTATTATTATTATTATTTTTTTTTTTTTTTTTTTTTTTCAGTTTCTTTTTTGACGCTAAGATCGACAGCAGGAAGGCACAATTTCAAGATGTCAGACATAGTAAACATATTATGTCTAACATCTTAACATTCGCAATTAGACATAGTAAAGAATTAGTAAAAGTAAGTTAGTAAAGTTAGACATAGCAAAGAATTCACTTTTGTCTTCCAGAGTCTCGACTTAGTGCACGCTTCCCAAGAAGATGAGTGTCCATAAATGTATCTCATGAAATTACTGAGAGATTTCCTTTAAAGTTGCATTTTTGAGAGGAGCAGTAAAGATAAAATTTTAAAATTTTTCAGGCCACACTGAAACAAAATATTTTGTAAAGGGTGTATCATCTAAAGATAATGACTAACATGTCAAATCATGTTTAAATGGTACTGAATTAAAAAAATGAATTCTGAAGTTGAGTTGGTCGTTTTTAAATTCTGAATTAGATGTTTTTAATTAGTTTAATATTTTTATACATACTTCTACTATATCTCAGACTACAGATCTGTTTTCGATTTCATTATCCTCTGCAAACATATTGTTCACCAGAAGTATAATCATTTTTACTCACAGTATACCTTATAATATTTTTGAATATTGTGTTATACAGTAATTTCTTGCAATACTACGGTTTATACAGATGCACAAATAATGCTTCTATACATACAACTGGTAGAAATTTGCTACGAGTGACCCATTTCACCATTATTACAAAATAAAAATTTAAGGCATTACAGTCTTTATTAAACACAGATGATGCAGAATCGGCGAACGTAAGAATGCTGAAAGCTTTTACGTAAGTTTATATATCAGTAGAATGAGATCATACTCTGAAATTATAAAATTATTTCACAAGCGATTTTACGTACCAAAATTTCTGCTGATAAACAAATTTAATCCAACTGAATACAGTATATAATATCACAGTTTACTCTATAAAGTAAAATAATAAAAAAATCTGAAACAGCATATGATTAGAGGAATCGCATTCACATAATGACAAAGTGCTTTAACAAATTAAATCCCACCAGTTCACGTTTTAAAAGTCGATAGGTTATGTTTATGAATTACGTCAGACTATGACTCATACTGATTCTTCTCACGGCTGTCACTTGATAAGCTGAGAGTTTAAAAATTTCTCCAAAATCCGAAAGAACTTTTTCAAAGAGAAAAATTGAATAGATGATATAATAATAAAGTATGAAAATGTTGTAGTAATATTGGAAACATCTTAAATTAGAATATAATAAATAAATAATTATAATAATAATATGAAATAAAATCAGCATAACTATAGTCATTAACAATAAAATTTATTTTTTATTATTTCATGATAATTTTTTATTTCTTTTAACAGTGAATTTCTCTTCAGCCACCTCAATGCTTGATTTTTCGACCTAAAAGCAAAAAGACTTCAGAATACTACAAAACCGAAACCATCTGAAGTAGCCGCCAAGCCGCACGCGCTTAGCAACCAATAAGAGAGAAGGTTCTTGGAGGAGGGAGAAATAGATCTCTCCGGCATTTTGCCTTGAGGTAGTTTGATTTGTGTTCTCTGCTGCATGTTTGTACTTCGTTTTTCCTTTCAGTGATTTATGATGCTTACATATTTGATCATACAGGATTTATTTTTTAAGTGTGTATTATGTCAAGACTTTTAAGAAGCAGACGGAGTGAAACAGCAAGTTTAAAAATTATAAGAACTGAATCGCATGTGTCAACTCAATGGGCAAATGCTTCATTTATGCATTATCTTCATCTAATTGATTATGAAGGAAGAGCTAATGCTATGGATGTGATACCTTGGTGCTGTATTCCATTCAGTCAACAAGGAATAGAACGATATTGTGCATTAAATGCATTCCAGGCTTATAAACCATATATAATGGAGAAGTTATCAACTTGCGAATCGATGATTATTCCAGTGTTACTTAAAAAATTGCTACATGTTTGTGAGCTATTAAATATATTTTCGGATAATGAAGAAACTGTAAGTTTGTACTTTGATATACTTAATTGTTTATATGATCGGTGCTATGAAGAACCCTCCTTGTTTAAGAGTATTTGGAATAAAATGTGTGTTACCACTTTTGTAAAGACTGCCATATTTGAAAAACTTATGATTAAAAGTCCAAAGTATAATTCTCCTAGGTTTTTAAAATATGTGTTAGAAATAGCTAATAGTGCTAATTTTGATTTACACAATTTTCCTTTTTGTCCTGTGACTTCAGCTCTTCTAAATGGAAATTCAGAATATATGAGAATCTTATTGCAGTATGGGTTTGAACAGAATGCGCAGCGATTAACAGTCTACAACAAGTATTTCTTGCCATGGTAATTATACTTATTTGTTTCTTATATATATCTGCCAATGTTTATGAAATTTTTCAGAAATGCTCTAGTTTTATGATCTTGTGCATGAAATTAATTTTGTTACAAATTTTGCAATTTACTATAAAAGTGCCTCAGTTTGGCAACTTCCCAGTAAATTTGTATTTAAAGCATACACTCTAGGTGAACCTTTGAATTCTTCTTCTTTGTTATGTATAAAGCAATTCTTCCCTTAATGAAGTATGAAACCGTTTGTGTTTGGGCAACTTTGATAATCTGCAAAAATATTTATTCAGTGCTCTCCATTTTCTTCATGATTTTTCTTAACAAATACCATAATGTTATTATCATTATGCATTCAAATAATAGTATAAAAAATAGCATTAAAATTAAACATTTTAGTTTCACTTTGTCATCTTTTAAAATGTCTGTACCTTTCGTTTAGGCAATTTTCAAACATTATGATTCTGAAATTTAAACAAGCTAAATGGGTCATAAAGTACAGGTTTTGGTAAAATAAAAAAAAGTTACATTAAATATGTTAAAATTAATTTTAATATCTACTTTTCTAATTTTTATTCTGAGAATTTTGCCTCTGCAAATTTTAAAAATATTCAAATGTATGTAAGTTTTCTTTGAATTTTTTATTTCAAAATATTCAGATGTGCATTAACATTCTCTGCAAAATTCACTTAAATTTATTTCAGTATTCTTCTGATTTTTATTCTCATGAAGGTGACAGGCATGCTTTTGTATTTTGGTTTTTAAAAAATTGGCACTCTTCTATTATCAGGACCAGATTCAGAAGTATGTGTATGGATGCATGTTTATATATGTATATATATATACACACAGAGACACATATATACATGCATAGATAAACATATGCATCCATACATATTTCTGGACCCAGTTCCGATAACAGAATAGTACCAAAATATTTAAGCATCAAATTTGTTTTAATTTTGAGAAATTGAGTAGTTCATTTAAGTTTTCAATACATCTCTGTTATCAGGACTGGATTCAGAAATGTATGTATGTATATGTGTGAGTGTGCTTGTACATATACATATATACATTCTGAATCTGGTCTTGGTAACGGAAAAGTGCCATTTTTTCTATGTGCGCTATACTTTAAATCTGTCAATATTGTGTTTTTAATACATTTAATTAAATACTATTATATTGTTGCATGTTTAAGCCACATCCTTTATTTTTGTGTATGGTTTTAGGGAAAAAAAATTGTCTTTGAGCTTTGACTTCTTTTGCATTTGAAATGTCTTACTTCCATAACTCAGCAGAAAAGGTAAAATCCTAGGAGAGCCCATACCCTTGGCGACAAACTAGGAAAGTGCTGAATCACCCACTGCTTTGTGTGTTTCTCAAAATCGCCAACTTGAAAATAACAAGTAAAAAAAATTGCACAAACTCTGTATCCATGTACACATCAACCTATTTTCACTTAAACAAAATCCCAGAATTGCACAAACTTGACATTGCACACTCCCTTGACTTTGTCCATGTACACATCCATACGCGCGATATAAGTGGATGCGCCAAGGTTGTGGGCTCCGCTAGGATCCAACCACAGAAAATTACATAAATTGTGTATATTTGCAATATATTATTTCTGCAGTTGCACAGAAACTATAAATATGTATAGAAAAAGTTTATAAAGGATTCTGGCTTTTTATTTTTGTGTTATCATCTACAGATATCTGAAATTTTAATATTAATACAATAGTTTTAAAGACTGTATTCATTGTGATTGTTTCTGTATGAAATATTATTATCTTCACAAAAATTTCCAGTATCACTCTACCATTCCATGGCATGTCATGCTAGGTGTTCTTTATTCTTATTTAAACATTAAATTTGATTTTTCTGAATTTAGATTTATATACACTTGCATAATGTTACCAGCTTAATAATCTATTTTTGGTATACATTATTTATTACATGTACATTTTATTGACATAAAATAGCAAATTTAAAATTAATTTTTCATGTGGCTTATTTTATTATTTATTTATTTTATTTTTTTTTTTTAATCCAAAACTAATTACCTTTTTGGTACTTTTCCATTTAGCCGGTGCAGGCGATAACGTTGCCAATAATGGTACAACCGATGCCATTTAGAATATCCTCGCTGGTAACATTTTACTTCTCATTTTCAAAACAAGTTACAACCATTTCTTATCAGATTGATTGTTTCTTTCAATACTGGCATACAATTACATAAAATTTTTACCAGATAGTTTAATTTTATGTCCTAAGGCCATGCACGGGCAATACAGTCAAAAGTCTTTAATCCGGACTCGTCGGGACTTTGGCAATTCCAGATTATCAATTTTTCCAGATTATAGACCATCAGTTTAAATCTGGTAAGATGGCATGCAGAAATTGTAAAATTAAAAATATGAAACCGTAATTTATGAAATAAAGAGCAATTATGATCTAAAGGGTATCAAAATTTACCAAAAAAAAAAGCTTAATATTTATTTGTTTACTTTATTAAATTCTTTCAACGCGCACATGGGTAAAGCATACGTACGCAGAGTCGAAATTAGAAAATTGCAACCAGAAAACTATTTGATTTGTGTTCATGATATTTATACTGATGAGGAATTTGATTTAAATCATATCAAAGACGGAGTACATCGAGATGAAACACTACATTATAAACCGAATAAAATAAAAACATCTGCCCTGAAGATAAGGATAGTACAGTCAAAAGTCGTTAATCCGGACTCGTCGGGACTTCGGCGATTCCGGGTTATCGATTTTTCCGGATTATAGATCATCAATTTAAATATGGTAAGATGGCATGCAGAAAATTACAAAATTAAAAATATGAAACCGTAATTTATGAAATAAAGAACAATTATGATCTAAAGGGTATCAAAATTTACAAAAAGAAAAAGCTTAATATTTATTTGTTTACTTTATTAAACATTTCCTTCAATGTAAGTTGCTTCGTTTCATGTGATAATACTTTCTCTTTAATTCTATTAAACAGACATAATTTCTTCTTTAGTTACAAAGTTCCGCTGTTCAAGTCCTATAATTGCTGTGTGTTGAGAATACCGACTAATTTGTCAATCGAAATGTTTTCGTTTTCAATAACCTCTGGGTCACTTTCTTCACTATCGGAAGCGAATTATAATGACGATGAACTTGATTTAAATCATATCAAAGACAGAATGAAATACTACACTTAGTATGGAATTATAAACCAAATAAAAAACATCTGCCCTGAAGATAAGGATAGTGCTGACAGATCAACTTCCAATCCCGCGCGTGAAACAGATTTCGGATCTCAAAACATACTTTCGCTTTGTAGATACAAATTACATATTAGTAAATATATCGGAAATTCTATTTGACATAATCTTTATAATCTATCATAATCTAATAATGACGTTTCTGCCCCCCCCCTGCCGCAGAGCAGCGTGAAATTGATAAAACAGATTTCGGATTTCAAAAACATACTTTCGCTTTGTAGTAAATATATATCGAAATTCTATTTGGACATAATCGAAAGTTCAAGCTTACTTTTATAAAATTGCTCTAACAGTCTGCAAAAAATAATAAGCCGGATCCAATTCGAAGATTAAGGAACAACGCAATCGGCAACATTAACTGAATTAGATAACTTTAGCTTAGCGTATAACTCCGTTACAATTTAATTGCGCATGCGCACAAACATATTCGCAGCCGTAAGGGTCTTACGCGCTCTCGTAAATGCCTGTGCGCATGCGTGAACGCGACGCATGCGCAGAAAGTTTGTAGCTTTGAGGTCCAGATTATAGATCATTTCGGATTATGGGTGTCCAAATTAACGACTTTTGACTGTACTGAAAGATCAACTTCCAGCTCATTGCGCGCCGCGACATCCCCCCCACCTGCGCAGAGCAGTGGGAAATTGATAAGCAGATTTCGGAATGGTTAGAGAAACAAAGGAGCCTTTATCCATTTTTTGCAGCAATTCCACTTTTTGCTTGATGGACGACATCGAAACGTGCTTTCCCTTTGTAGATCTAGCATCGGAGATTCTATTTGACACAATCGAAAGTTCCAACTTACTTTTATAAAATTGCTCTAACAGTAAAAATAATAAGCCGCATCCAATTCGAAGATTGAGGAACAACGCAATCTGCAACATTAACTGAAATAGATAATTAGATAATTTTAGCTTAGCTTATACCGTCTGTTATACATTAAACGCGCATGTGTAAACGTATTATGCGCATGCGTAAAGGTATTACGCGCAGATGCATTGACACATGCGCAGAAAGTTTGTAGCTTTGAGGTCTGGATTATGGGTGTCCGGATTAACGACTTTTGACTGTAATTAAGTCAATTAGAATGCAATCACACCTCTCACCCAACGGCAAAAATATAGAGAAGATAAAGTCAAGCGTTAAATTCATCAATTCTAATGAGAATGCAGTAGCGAAGTAAAGCACTGTGGTTTTACATAATATCTGAGTAAGCTATTCACATGAATTGAAATAATTCTTGCATTTAAACTTGTATTTCAAATCAAGATAATTAAGATTTAACTTGAAATTAATGTAGATAATTATTGAGACAGATTTTTGTAGCATATTTTGCTTGAGATGAGATCATTTGGGGTCACGTGATATGAACCAGTGAATCAGGATGTTGTACCATGAAAGCATAGTAAATTCTTAAATTAATGTCTTTTTACAAATTTATTGGCTTTTTTACAAAATTTTAAATTATATTAAAATATTTATACTTTTAAAATAAAAATTCTTAGAACTAACATTTTTTATGCATATACTGTGTGTTGTCATCAATAAAGTCTGCTTGGCGAAATTTGCGCTTGCGAAATGGAAAAGTACCTTCTTTTCTTCTATAGATAATGTCTTTTTTTAAGTGTATACTTCAGGAACATATGTATGGGGTAAAAACAGTGTTATGTATAATGCATCATAGCTCATCTGCATATTTAAATTAATTTTTATGCACTCATATAGGGTCTAATTTTGTGTTTGTGTATACCTTGACATAAGGTAAATATTTTTAACAAGCAGAATAGTGTTGTACTTAAAACTATGTATAATGCTGTGTGAAAATATTATATATATATAGGTAACAGAAATTTAAAATACTGATAATGATAATTACATTTTAATTTAATACTGTTGCTATGACATACTCTGCAAAATCTCTTCATAGAAAGTCATATTTATATATAGAGAGAGAGAGAGAATTTCTTGCTTGAATTACACTAAATTCAACATGGCTTAATTCTTAATAGCATAGAGCTTATCTGTAAAATATCAGTAACTTAAAATAAGTATCAAGTAACAGCAGAAATGTTAATGCTCTGTTTAATAGGATATTGGATGATTTTTCTATTTTCTTTTTAAACAATATTGTTTTCACTGTGAAACTATTAATCCTGTTTCTAATTTTGCAGTGCTAATCCTCTATATGATTTACTGAAAAGTCCACTTGAAACAAGAACATCTAGTAGGACTGCAGTTATTACAGAAATTCTTTTGCTCTTAATCATAATAGTTTCTTGCAAATCTATTAAAAAACGTCTATCGATTGTGGATTGTTTTCGTCTGTTGTGGAACAGTATTTCTTATCCTTTCATAACTGAACAGGAGCTACAAAATGAAGTACGTAAATATTTCACATGCTATAACATATGCAATCTGCAACGCTTTTATCCAGCAAATGCAGAACAATTTTTTAGGTTAGTTGAAATATACAATGAAATGCTACCAGAAAGTGAAAATATCCTCCAGCCTCGAACACTAAAGCATCTTTGCAGGTGTGTTGTGAGAAGACAGCTTAAAAAAGCATGGAACCTACCTCATGGCATCCAAAATTTGCCTGTTCCAAATTGTATACGATCATATTTAATGCTTGAAATGAGTAAAAAAGTATAAAAATGGGACAAGAAAGAAAGGACTTGTTGCTTCATTTATATCTTTGGGCAAATGAAGCAGGATTTCATTAGGAGACAGTCGTATACAAATCAGTATGAAAGGAAATGTGGTACATGTGTAGTTAATGGTAATATTTATTTTCAGATGAAAACATGAACATTTTACCTCAATAGCATTATTTAATTTGGTTTTACTATTACTTTATTCTAATAATTATTAATTTCATTTGATGTTTTTTGTAACAAATTGCTCATATTCTCAGGAATTTTGTAGATATTGAATGTGTATTTTTTATTGTGCAAAGAAAGCAAAAAAGTATTTTTAATTCATAATAAAATTAATTATATTTAAAAAAGCAGTGATTTTTGCATGCATAGTATGATTATTGAAGTCTCGGTGAACTTAACATAGTACTTGGTGTGTTAGCTGGTATTCGCTGATAAGTTGCCTTGACTGAATGGTTGAAAGGATGGTGATGATTTCTTTTTTTAATCTCGGCGTCAACTTCAGATCACTTTTCCACCATGACATATAAATGTGCTGTTCTCTAGCATGATTCTTTAATACAAAGAAACTCGTCCTTGCAATTTGGTCTGAAATATCGGCAATATTTTTATCTGATTTTATTAAATAAAGTGCAAGCAATATTTGACCCTTCTTAATGTATTTTTCAGTCACCAATTCATATCAGATTTCCAGATTGATTTAACGAAATTTTGCCTCCACCCCACCCCCAAATAGCCAAATGCAGAAGTCAGATATTTTAAAACAAGAAATTGGGAAGATATATGTTTTAATTTTATTTCAGTACAAAAACTATGATGATATCACAATTACAAACACATTTTAAAAAGGTCTCGAAGAAAATTTCAAAACTCTAATTAATCGCCAAACCTAGTAACACAGAGTATAAGAATATAGAATGATGAAAGCTTGCAACATTTCATATCGCGCGTTGCAAAAAGAGTGGATTTGTCCAATCATGAACTCCAAAGTTGATAATGATGTTTCACCACGTAATCTGATGGCAACCATAAAATCTTATAAAAATATGCACTGCTTCTCTCACCACTGACGCCACTGAAGAAATTGCGCCTATATATAACTGAAGCATTGTTGTATTTTGCCATTGAATTACTGTTTTGCATTTATTAGCATTTTAATTTTGAAAATGTATTACCTTCTTCTTAGGACGAACCTAGAATTTCTCATCATGTTAGATGACCTGCTGATGTGCATGGGACAGCTGGTCACTTCCCTTCCCTAGCATCTGCAATCCTCACCAGTTTCGGACCCACATGGCAGACCTCCAAAGTCAAGTTTCCAAAGCGACTTAAGTTCAGAGATCTGGGAAGCATCGTGCATGTAACACAATATTCGTAGAATAACAGCAGAACTTTAAACTGCCACTTCGAGAAAAGGCAGAAACATTAACTCACATAAGATGGTTTTGGATCTGCATTTCAGACTTGGATATTGCAGAGTGGGTAAAAATACCATAATTTTCTTTCATTGTCAAAGAGTTAGTCATGGCCAGTTCTTTTGCAACAACCTGCTCCCAGATGCCTGAATTGTAATCAGGGCCAACTGGCAAACACAAGTGCTTTCCCTAAAGAAGAGAAGCCAACATACTGTAAGTTGGATCACTTGGCTTCATTGAAGAAACATGAATTTTGTCCCAAAACTCGCATCAAGAAAGAAGATAAAAAAACTCTTTTTAAAATTTTAATTTCTGTAATATTTTTTATGAAATCAAAATTTTTAAAGAAATAGAAAAACGTATTATATTAATATAGATTTTATTAGGAATTCATTTATTCAGGAATTATTCAGCTTTATTAGGAATATACTGCTTGAAAGAACATCTTCCTCGAAAAGCTTCAAGTTTTTCAACAATTGTTATGAACTCACCGGCAGTGTAATATTTCTGGCAGTTAGTTATTCGCAAACTCTTCAAAAAAAAAACTCTATTATAGGTCCTTAAACTTAAAAAAAAAAAACTCTATTATTCTCTTATAGGTCCAAGTTTATCCGATTCTCTCTTGACGACGCGAGTTCCTATGCCATCAAAACACAAACATCTTGATAGAAAAGGAAAACTTTTGTAGGACATAGTTTTGTGGGAAATTTCCAAGCCGGTTCCGTCTGTTGCCGACAGATCCCGCACATTTACGTGAGATGACTTATATCACAAAAATATAAAAGCGCGAATTTTTGTTAGAGCTGTGTGACGAGCATCTCTCTCTTTGAAAGCTGTCAGAAATAGATGCAATGTAAATAGTTGTATAACTGACGACTGTCAGCAGCATTTGATTACTTAGTAAAAGTTCCTACAATTCATTTGGAGTCTGGACATACATTGGTATGCAAAACTTAAGCAACAATGTAAATTTTAATCAGATAGCCATGAAATTGCAGAAAAGGTTCTTGCGATCAGTACAATGAACACAAAATTCAGTAGAAAGCTCCGTATGGAAATGTCAGAAACAAAACGTCACAGGTGATGTGAGCGTATGCAAAACGCGTGCGATCGGCGCGCTCAACTCAAGACTACAATAAGGACGGATATGCAATTAAAGGCATTCGCTGAAAGTACGTTCTTTCGTGAAAACATGGCTAGAAGAAGTCTCCTGGATGAATGATTGGAAAGCTGGAGGAGGGACATAGTGTGACCAGTGTTGCTGAAGAGTTCAGAATCAACAAAAGTGTCGTTTGGCGCGCTTGGAAAGCCTTCTAAACCATAGGCACAGCTGTTAGAGTGGTTGATGGTGGATGACCAATATATCGTCCTGCAGGCGGAAAGAGCCCGAAACCAGTCAGCGAGCGTCATAGCATAGCAACTGTGTATAGCAACGGAGCGACAAGTGTCGCAGTTTACTGTGTCCAGACGTTTTCACAAATTTGGCCTATTCACCCATCGTCTTGAACGCTGCACACCTTTAAAAAGTTGGCCATCGGTACCACCATGTAGAGTGGTTCAAGAAGCACAAAATCTGGATATCTCATCAACGAAATCCTGTGCTATTTATGGAAGAGACTCGTTTTAATGCCACAAGCGATTTTCAACGCCAGTTGATTTGGAGAGAGGTTGGGACACGGTTTCATCCCAGTAACATCAAGGAAAGAGACCATTACGGTACTCCTGGAGTTCTTGTCTAGGAAGGCATTACAGTGAACGGGCGGACAGAGCTCCACGTTTTCGACAGAGGTTCTGTAACGGGAGATCGCTATTGTCAGGAGGTAATCCTTCCCCGTGTAGGTCTGTTCCGAGGTGCCATTAGAGCAGATTTCATTTTTATGGATGACAGTGCATGGCCACACTGAACTCCTGCTCTTCAGAAGATGATGGAAAGGGAAGATATCACTCAAATGGATTGACCAGGATACTCCTCTTATTTAAATCCCATAGCATATGTGTGGAATGCTTTGGGGAGTCACCACCTTGCGGCACGGGAACACCCAACCCAAGGAACACCCAACAACAGAAACAGATGCTGATTGAGGAATAGGCACTCTTACCTCAAGATCTGTTGGACAATCTGGTGCTGAGTATGGAGAGACGGTGCGAAGCAATCACTGCAGTAAGGGGAGGGTATATTCCATATTAAGGAACATCTGCTTGTTGTTCTTCTTGTACAGACAATCATGTGTAACAATACTATAAGGTCAATAAAGCCTTTATTAATTCCATACTGCATGCATTGTATACATTTTTGCTCAACTATGCTTACTTCATCGTTTAAAATACAAGATGCTGTCTCTCAAATGATTTCTCGAGGAGTTATGGCAAAAAGAACACGTCTGATCTTTTGGCCATCCTTTTTTTTTTTTTTTTCCCCCTTTCCCAATAAAGCAATAAATGTCATTCTCATTTTTGTTCAACAAACCTGCCTCTGCTAAAAAGAAAATTTCTGATTTGCCAGGGTTGATCCCTCGAACTAATCGACAATTTCATTACTTCTGCTATTGAAAATGTTAACGTAGCCATGCCCATGGATAAGCAAACTATAGGGACTGAGCAAGGGTTCATTTAGGGGACAGTAAGGTAATTAGCCTTTATCCCTACATCATCAAGTAACATTAAATTGTCATCAAAAGAGGGGTTCCACAAAGAGGTTTAAATTTAGTGTCAAAAAAACGAAAGAAAGCCTGCCTTCCACAGTGAAAAAGTTAAAAACATTGAAGGACTTTAATTTAAAATTTTGAGATCGAAAAAGGACCAGAATCAAATTTTGTGGTGTTGCATCATTGAATTTTGAATAGACACTATTTTCCTTGATCAATATCTAAAGTGTTCCTCCAATTACTGTAAAAGACTCCAGGGAGTCTAGTCTGGACAGCGGTCAAGATCGAAGTCGGCATTCTCTTTCCACTCGACAGCAAACGGCAGAGCGAGTCTGAACCCTTCAAATTCCGTCGGTGGAAAATGAAGTGTAATTTCCATGCAGAAACTTCCATGCTGACGTTTATTACATAGCAACCAGTCTGTCTCACCTCTCTCTACGTTGCTCGAGGCTCAGGGAAAGGAGGTAGTTTGTTGTCAAAAGTGCTGTTTCGCATGTGCTTGTCCCTGAGGATGGCGGTAGCAAAAACAAAACTGCCAACCAGTTCGAGTAAATAGTGATATTTTTCGAAAACATCCGCAGCTGTTAAGCGGTAAACTGAGTAGCACATTTAGTAAAGAGCACAAGAAAAGAAAATTGGAAGAGTTAATGGATATTTTAAACGCAGAAAGAAATGGCCACTCCAAAACTTCAGATATGTAAAGAAACGTAAGCATAATTTCACGTACGATCTTTTTGCGAAATAAAAGTATTCTAAAAGGTTACATGTTTGTTAACAGGAATTTTATGATTAAAATATTTTTTGCCTAAAAGGTTATGCAACAATGTCATAAACCAAATCATTGAAATATAACATTGCGTACGCGTGTTTAGTATTCCTATTGAATAAAAAAAAATTTATTTTTAGCAACTGATGATTATATCAATCATTTTATTTATTCATGAATTATACCTAGTACGTAACTACAGATATACTATATATCGTAGATATCAATAAGCAGAAAACCTAGGAATGATGCATTAAAAACTGATTTACTAGTGGGGAAAAAATATAACAAATTTTTCACAAACGTAATAGAAAGGAAACCAAAAAAAAAATATATATATATGACTTAAATCACAAAACATATTTTGCATATAAATGCACGTAATTACACACATATATATATTATATAAAACGGAAGGAAAAATTACACAACTGCACATTAAGCGAATGTTAGAATTTTCTGTTAATATAGATAAACCTTGACATTCTTCCGTGTCATTATGTGCAATTATAGATACGTGGATA